GCTAGCAGCTCATTTTCAGACTCTTGCTCTCCCCCTCACAGTTCATACTGTTGCACACTAGCTGCTTGGAGCTGCTTTAAACCTCTCCCCTCCTACAGCCCGCACACAGTTAATGTTTCCCTCCTGCAGAAAAATTTGCTCGGAGAACAAATGGCAAATAATCAATGCTAATTTTACATTTTTCATTTCCAAGGCCAAATGACATCACATAAGTGAGTCATTATCAAAGCCTAAAATTCTCTTTGAGCCAGCACTTATCATGAATAAACTGCAAGTGCAGGCAGCCCTGTTACATAAATGCCACCAGTAGATTACATTTTTGAAAGCTGCAGAAATTTGCTAGTCTTAGTAATTTACTCAGCCAAGCTTACTTTCTTGGCTTTAATCTTGCCTTAAACAAAAGTTTCCGTAATTTACGATTCTGATGCTGATGAATGTTAACAGTAGTAACAACTAGATTTACTTACTGAAGACTTTGACTATCGTCGGCTCTTCGGAAACATCATCTTCTGTGACTAGCATACATACAAATCTCTTTTCATCACTGATTCTTGCATTCTTGATGGATAATGTAAAGTTTTCTGAGAGACTCAACCTGTCTTTGTAGTCTGGCACATCATCATACTGTACATTTTTTTTTGTTGATGATCTGAAGGCAATAAATACTGGAGATCCATTTGGCATTTCCTACAATAAAAGGATAAACATCTCTATTTTGCATAAACACTCATTTAGAAGTTCCTGAAGATTTGCAATTGGTACAAACCCATAATTTAAAATAGAATCAGAAAACTGTATCAGACTGCTCTTTTCCTGACTAGTATCTGCTGTATATAGAAGAAATTCAGTGTAATATGAGAGCTAGTTTAAGACTGCCATGGTACACATTGAGAATATCATCAATAGAAATAATTTCAATCCTTGGCTCAATCTCAGCATAGCATAGGGCTTTCTCTGATGAAGGCTGGTGGTTCTGGCACCAGTTCCCTCTGTCTGTATGAAAAAAAAATTGAAATAGAAGCATGTGTGAACTCAGCTCAAAAGCTTCACTTTTTTTTTTCATGATTGTTTTGCATATTCATATTGTTTGTCTGGGATATTCAGACTTCATTCCAAATGCAGGATTTAATCAGGCAGAACTGCCTATTTTATTCTAAATTAGTTTTTAGCTTTTCTTTTTCCTTTGTTTTTAAAGGGCCCAAGAGCTTGTAGCATGGGAACATACATACAATAAAATATTGTTATTTTGCATGTCAGGATAATCTGCAAAGTATCATTTCCTAGACATCCTCCTTATATTAATCAGTATGCAGTTGCCATCCTAAGAAGAAATAGTGAGTTGGCAGCCTTGCACAAACCTCCCATGTAAAACAAAATATTTTTATGAGAGACAAAGTTACAGGGGCAGTTCTGCAGATTTTTATTGCCTCTTCCTTACACACACACACAGAGCAGGGACAGATACTGTATGCCTTTATTTAAAGTGAAGTGAAACACTGACTATCTTTATGTTCAGTATTGTGCTGGGGGCTGGAAAAGGTTTTCATATTCCCTTTTATCTGTTATACCTTGCAGCACTGATGTTAGCAGTGTTCCCAGCACAATACCTTGGCTTGACTGCAGAGCCCACAAAAGCATGACGATGCTGCGACAACGGATGAGTGGTGTCAGAGCTGGGCAGAGAGCAAGAGGCACCAGCTAGCTGTGAAGTTTAAATTCCCTTACAGTCTTTCTCCCTCTCCTACTTTTAACTCTTGGATTTGTCTACATGTCTGTCACACCGAAAAGAAAATATTGCCTTGAGTCCATACACAAGAAATTGGCTGTCAAGTGCAAATGAGCTCTTACCTCTGAAGCCTACACAGCACAAGCACACACAGGTAGGCACTGAAGCAAAGCAACACCTGCTCCTGCCATGGTGCAAGTCTCCCAGTGCCCCCAGGCTCCCACCAGGAACCAAAATTGCTCATCCCAAGGCAAAGGGTAGAAAACAGAGTTCCTCCTTCTTCCAATGAAATAATCACCTGACCAAAAAAACCCTAATCCAACCCTTCCCTTCCCACAAAACAAGTGTTGCCATGCTGTGAGCTGCCCTGGGAGACACACTTCATTGTGTGGGCTGTGTCAACAATTTTATACAATAGCAACTGGACGGGCTTTTTTGCATGTTAGGTTTTGTGTTCCTTTCCATTTAGAAGAAGCTATAACATCTTCATTTGCTGCTTGGTACTTGTCTGACATAAGCAATCCAAATGCACTGGAAAGAGATAATCCATTTCTTTATCACAGATTATCCTTGCATCTTCATAGAGATGGACTTGCATCTTCCCAAGTAAGGAGATTAAAAAAGACATTGCAAAATGTAGGCACTCCATCTTCTGAATGCTCATATAAAACAATTTCACTGTCCCTTTTTTGGGAAACATTCTCCAGAGACTTCTGACTTCATTTCCCAAAACTTGTTTGTAAAAAGAAACAATTGAGTGGGCAGGAGCTGCAAAAGCTGCAAACATGAAGGTATAAAAGAAGGAGTTGGGGGAATAAGATACACCTCTCAGTGGCAGACCAGTCTGCTGTAAAATAGGCCAGTGGATGCCATTTGCAGAGAAAGAGAGAGAGAACTACATAATTTTAAATCCACTGTCAGACTAGAAATCATCCATTATTGCAGGCAACATTTTATTTGAGCACAAGAGGAGATTTAGATGAACTTCACAAAGCAGGAAAACTAGTTGTCTTGATATCAGTAGCAAAAAGGTTTTGGTATCCCAGTTTTTTTATCTGCATATGCTCCCAGGTTTCCTGAGAAGCAAAAAGGTTTTGGTATCCCAGTGTTTTTATCTGCATATGCTCCCAGGTTTCATTTGTCTTTGATATGCTTGTTCTCCATTTGACCTGTGATACTGATCATATGCAGGAGAAGCTCATCCTGCAGTGTTCCTACTGCAGGCTGACCAACACACCAAGAGAGCACCTGTGTTTCTGCCCCTGTTCTCTGCCAGAAATGCCAGAGTAAAACCACCAGCAGCTCTACTAAGGTCAGCCCTGCTTCCTTCTCTGTGCATTAAACACAATGAAGCATGAAACCGTTCTGAGTGACTGTCCAATCAACCAAACACAGGGACAGCACTTTCCCAGGGATGAAGCACGCTCTGCTTCAGGCAGCCTACTTCAAAAGGATTCAAATGTACAACGATGGCTCTGTCAAGCAAGCGAGACACCACTGGGTAACATGCCAGATCCCTAATGCAGGTTGGCAGAGAACTCTCGAATAATTATTTCTCTTGAACAATGAGATTAATTCCTCAAACATCTAATCTGTGCTTGGCAGAAATTATACAGATTGGAATCTTGCAGTCGTACAAACACAGGAATAATTGCCTTCGTATCTGAGGCAGAAGTCCTATCGACTGGAGTCTTGTAATCTCTCTTACACACAAAAATACACATCTTATAACAGGTTTAATAAATATAAAAAGATATACTTACATATTTCCATTTTCCAAACATAAGACCATCTGGTACTTCTAGTGGACAAGGCATAGTAATAGTATCTCCATATACTGCATTTACTGTGTACAATCCCAGAGCTAGAGGAGAAACAGAGAGGAAACAATTTTATGTGTTTGCTTGAATTCCCATATGCTAGCTAATGTTTGGTTCACACCTATTACAAAAGCAGCACCACCTCTTTTACAAATGGTTATTTTCCAGCATGTAGGATTCATCCTCAAACCTCTAACAAAACAAGATTCCTGTCACTAAATGTAAGTAAACATTATGACCCTCTCAAATCCATGTTTCCTGCTGCCATCAAGGGGAGCCAAGTGGATTTCCAAACAGGATTGCACTTGCTCAACCAGATGAATACATACACTACAATCAATATCCACAGCTATTGTCTCAAAACTTGAAAAGGGAAAACATCTAACTTTCTATTTTCTTCACCTGAAAAAACAACCACATCTGCCTGGAGAGATTACATTGCAATGCAGTACTGTGAGGAGGCCAGCAGAAGTGATACTGTGTCTGCTGCACTACATTAAAAACTTAAAAAAGGAAGAAAAAAAAGAGAATTATGATATTTAAATGTTGTGTTCCTTAAAAGCTGGGAAAAAACCTAGTCTGCACATTTAGATTTTGGAAAAATGAAGTTAAATCCTTCTATGAATTATTTAAGAATGGGTTTTTTTGGAAACCTCAGCACAATCTTACTGTGCTAATGCATATAAATTTACAGAATAAAACTGACCCACTTATTTTTGTTGTCCAAAACATGTGAATTGAACAAAAACAACAGACCCTAAAGCAATGAAATCTTAAAATGCAAGGAGTTTGAAGGGAAAGATGATACAACTCAGTGCGTTTTTTACAATGCAATTTTGCTTTGCTCCTCTTTTCCATAGTTGCCTCCCTCTTTGGTCTCCCTTCATTTGCAACTGTAGCTTCAAAAAATCAGGGGCTTGCTGTCAAAGAAACCTTAAGAGAGAGTAGTATGATGCTGGTGATGCAGCCTCAGAAACAACCAGTCCTCCTAGAGACATTCTTTGCTCTGGAGATTCAGCCCTTCTTGCTACTTGCTACATCTGGAAAAAGAAACCTATTCCCATCCCCCTGCAAAGACCTGAGCCACAGACTTGTTTGCTTTTCCCAAGTCCTGAGGCAGCTGCTGGGAGAACTTGACAATTTAAATGAGTGCATATATGCACACTGTAAAGAGGTTTTCCCAAGGGATTGGGTTCTGTTTTGAACAGAATCTTGCCTTTTCAAAGAGCCAAACACTGAATTCTTTTCCTGCAATTTAATCGAGAGAGACTCCAGAGCATTTTTCTCAGGTGATGGCTTCAGAGCTCACTGTTAGCATCAGCTTGTATTCATCATTTGTATCACAGTGACAAATGAGGCTGTGGCTTGTGCTGTGTGGCACTGCACAAAATCCTTCCTTAGAGATGCTTACAACCTGGATGGCATCACATGGTTAAGGCAGAAAAGCAGGCAAACAGGTTGGAGCTCGATGGACTAAAGGAATACAGGCAATAACAGGCACCACTACCCGCATTTATCTTAAACCTTCTTTCCTTCACACTGCTCCTTTTCAACTAAAGAACTGCTAATCCTCTGATTCTGTTATATAAATCACAAACATACTTCAGGTGCATCATTCACACTATAAGGACTGGATGCCCTAATTTGCTATATGCTTCATGAAGACCAGCTGTTTTCTAAATGACAAAAGCAGTCAATCCACTAGATGGTGCTGAGTAAGAGCAATCTTTAAAAATTGAACAAAAAATTTTTACAGAAATCAGATAACTTCAATTTCATGGAAATAGGACCAGTGTTTTACAAAATCAAACTATAAATGGAAGTAAAATTCAAAGCTGTAACAAATTTTTCCTTGGCTCTTTCTTGCACTCATCCTCATTCTGATCTCCAGGATGAGGGCAAGGTAACCTTGGCTTTGCAAGGTGAATGCTAATTTTAATTTCTGCTAGAGTTAGAAAAAAAATGTCCTTTTCTGATTCTTTTCTCCCATGCGTGCAAAATCACAACAGACTTGCAAATATATATTCAATTAGTAAGCTGGTTAGTACCTGTTCAAAATCCAGTTAAATGTCATTTATTAATTTGAAGTTATGTAATGGCATTTTGCATCACATGAGAAAAACAAAAACTGCCCCTTGTGCTACAAGACTCCTTGTGCTAATGACTCCCTGTCATTAGGGAAAACAAAATGACCCCCTAGGTTCTGTAAAGTTGTCTCTCCTAGACACCCGTTTAACCCCTTAAAAATTGCTAAGGTAGCAAGTACAAAGGCTCAACAAACAGCCTCATGAGAGTGAGTGAAACTGTTTCTGGAAAGGATTTACATTTACAGTGTTCAGGGCAGGTAACTGATGAACAACCTGATAAAGAGTAGCCTCTGATTTCAAAAGAGCTCTTTCAGCTGAAAGGCATTTTTTAAGATGGACAACCATGCCAGAATTGTGACTTGCCATAAATTCTGCCTGTACTAAAATCATAGTTTTCTAGGAATTTGTTAACACAGAACCAGAAAGGCACAGATTTTACTTTTAATACAGAGCAATGGTCCTTACAATACACAAGGTCCTGCTGTAAAATTTTCTCCTCCCATTTCTGTAGCAACAAATCTAGGACATTTAAGGAGGACATTGAGCAACCACAAACTTTCACTGCAGGAACTGCAGTAATCTCCACAAAATGACCTTGCCAGTCTATACATTTAAGAAATAAACAAAAAAGCACCTCAACAGAACTGGAAATTCCTCTGTCTCTTGCTACTAAACGTATTTGCAAAATGGTGGGATGAAGAAGAGAATGAATGCTTAATGATAAGTCATTATCATTAGTGCTTACCATCAACCATCATATTCTGAGACCTCTATACGTAATTTCCAGCTCATTCTAACAACAAGAAAATGAAAGCAGGATCTACAAATAAGTAACAAATTGCTCTATGCTCTAACATGGCACAGGGTCAATGTCAGGGCCCTCGTTTCTCATTAAGTGCAGGAGAGCGCAAAGGCAACTCTAGGGAATAACACTGCAAGACGTCACCGGACATCATGCCCTGCCTCGTTCTATTTCTGATGCACCTTTCTGTAGCTAATTAAGAGCTCAGCCAGCTTCCCTGCATGATTTTCAGATGTCACCTTCTAAAACTGAGCCAGGACTGCTAATAACACTACTAATTCAGAGGCAGGATCTTGCCCCACATACATTGACAGAAGCTCTACTTGCTAGGTCTAAACTACACCTCCAACTCACTTTCCTACCATGTCTTTACATACAGGTTTGAGCAGGTACCTCAATTCCCTCTCTTTGATCCAGTGTTGAATAAACTAGGCTAGATTAAACCTTTCCACACAGTTTCAGACACAGGAAGAAAGCAGCAGCATCAAGAGGTATGATGGCTCAGAAGATCTCAGCAGGACACTCCTAAACTGAGATGACATTTGCTATTGATGATTTTAATTAGATTACTTTCCATGTCCCCACCCATATGGCAGCACTAACTGGCATTCTTTGTCCCCCTCTCTGTCTCTGTTTCACAAAGGAAAAACTAAACAGTACCTACATATTTGGGTGACAAAACAAAAAATCTTCAACAGAAACTCAGAGGCAGAGCAGGTGCTGTTGTTATTTTAGAATCTCACCAAGTGTACACGAGGTAGATCATACTTTAGACTAATTATAATTTTTTAATCAACAGGCTCATATATGAGGAATGGATAGAAGGTGAGAATCTAAATATCAGGAAGTCAATGTTTCTCCAGGGAAATAACAGAAGCTGTAGGAAGTATATGGAAAGCAGTCATGTTTTCCACCTCTACCTTCCGTTGGCAATACTGAAAGTTTTTCCTGCCACAGACACCTCTTTTAAGTGCTTAGGAGTAATATTTTTGTAAAAAATGTAAAACAGAACAAGGGCTGTTCAAACACCCTTTAGATGCGAAATCCACATGAGAATATGAACCTGTATCTGAAAACTATGACTAGCAGAGGTAATGCCTGAGACTCATCTTCACTGGCCTGCACAGATGCCACACAGCATAGCTTAGTTCCAGCTACGAAAACAATGGAAATCTGGGGAGCTGAACCTCCCAAAATATCATATATTTAAATGATGTCTGGTATTTTCCTTTTGTTACTGCTGATACTTCTGCCCTGGCAAGTTCAGCAATGATGATTTTTATTACACTTTCTGGACCCAAGGAGCAAGGTCTCATTACTAGAGAACAGCAGGACATGTTGGCTGATATGGTTCTTTGCAGCCATCAGCAGCATCTAGCAGGGGAGGTCAATTAGCAGCTTCTGGAATGGAAGTGTCCAAATTCAAGAGCTATTACATCTATTTAGCACCTACTTCAGAAACTGTAGTTAACTTTAGAAACTCTAAATTAGGATTAGCACTCCAACTCTTTACTTGAGGTATTAGTCCTCCAGTCTATTCTCCAAGTAGCTCAGACTAGTCTGTATTTAATATATTATGGGAGGTTAAAAAGCTTTGCCTCATGAAATAAATATTTTATTAAGATGCTTGCTATGATCTCTGAAGTAGCAATAGATGTATTTTTCTTTCTGCCCTTCACTTCCTAAAGGGATTTCAGCTACATAGGCAAACATATAGTTCCTACTGAGCATCCACTTTGGTACCAGAGTAAATGGTTGGTACTGGCTTAAATGATTCATTTTAGAAAACATCAGTAGTTACATCTTCTTAAGATCAGGAAGTCATCTTTTAGAATCATAGAACCATTTAGGCTGGAAAAGATGTTTAAGATTATTGAGTCCAACCACAAACCTAATGTTATGAAGTCCGTCACCAAACTATGGCCCTGAGTGCCACATCTATACGTCTTTTAAAGACCTCCAGGGATGGTTACTCAACCACTTCCTTGGGTGGCTTTACAGCCCTTACAGTAAAGAAATTTTTCCTAACATCCAATCTAAAACTCCTCTGTAGCAACTTGAGGCCATTTCTTGATTCCCATCTCATTACAACCTCCTTTCAGGTAGTTGTACAGAGCGATAAGCCTCCTGTTCTCCAGACTAAACAGCCCCAGCTCCCTCAGGCA